GCTGCTTTGATTAATGTATACTGTCATGGCAAAATGGCAACATGGCCAAAACCGGCGCCGAAACAACTGTCGGGCGTCACGGGCCATCGACGTCTCCGGACATGAATACGGGAAGACAGACATGCAGATGGAGAGCAACTGACCACCAGGATGAACCAAGGAGCTACCAACAGGATCTCCTCAACAACCGCACACAGAACGATGCTGCGTATGGGCCACCGCAGCTGGAGCCTGGTTCATGCACCCATGCTGACTTCTGTTCACCGACGACGAAGGCTGGAATTTGCACGTCAATACCGCAACAGGGCATCCACTGAATGGCGACAGATGGTCTTTTCAAAAGAATCACGTTTTCTATTCCAATGGGCCAGTGGTCGTCGGCGTTTACGGAGTGAAACATCTGAACGCAAACACCCTGCAACTGTCACCGGATGGGTCCAGGCAGGAAGACAGTGGGTAATGGTGTGGGGAATGTTTTCGGGGCATTCCATGAGGGATACCGACATTCTGGAAGGCACAATGCATCAATGCTATCCTCGAAAACCATGTCCAGCCTTATATAGCGGCGGTGATGGTGTAACGGTTAGCGTACTGGACTGTTGTATCCAAGTTGGCGGGTTCAAACTTTTAAGGGCGAAAAAATCCTTCATACTCCTTCCTTCGGAGGGGAAGTAAAGCCGGCTGTCCCGTGTTCGTAGATTTACTTGCATGTAAAAGATCCTCAAGCCTAAATGACGCCTCTGAGCTAAATTCAAATCGCCGGTTTCTCGCCCAAGATATGCCTCCTTTCACCGCTGGTTGGTGAAAGGAGCGTAGCGAAATTTGCGTGGTCTGATGGAAGAGCAGGCCTAATGGCCTGAGTCTTGCCACGTAAAATAAGGCAAATTCAATTCGAATTCAATATATGGATCGGTTTTCGTCAGAAAGGCAGCATCTACCAACAGGAGAATGCAACGTGTCATACAACTCGCAGTGTACATGCGTGGTTCAAAGAGTATCAGGATTTCACAGTACTTCCCTGATCACTAAACTCCTCCGATTTAAACTCAATCGAGAATCAGTGGAAGCATGTAAATCGTGCCATAGATCCACAACCGAGGAAACTAGCGCCGCTGGGCACAGACGGCACTAGAGACAGCATTGCTGCACATCCCTGTCAGTACCCTCCAGAACCTAATTCACTCTTCCTGCACGACTTGTATCGGTCAGCGCTACAATAGAGGGTTATTCAGGATTTTCACAGGTGGTCACATTTATGTGCCTGGCCTGTATATATTTCTCGCAATATTACATTTCTCACCTAGAAAATCAATTGTTCCAAATCTTTCCATTCGACGTAGCGGTATCAGGTAAAAGTTATCAAAGTAGACATACACTTTTGACTCAAGACTTGTTGTTTCTTCATATGTTTCGTTGGTACACAGCCCTCTGCAAAATAAGAAAATAGTACATAAATGCACACCATTAATTAGAATAGACACAATACAAAAATTAAAGCACATCTGTTCTTGAATAGATCTTATGAAAATAAGAGTTAATTTTTTCTAAAGTAAGTTTTTAATCCCTTGCAATAGGATAAAATTAAAATTATTAAATTTATTATTTTCTATGACCGAACATTCCAGAAATAAGAAAGTACCCAATTTACATAGTTCGACTGCTTTTTTATTTCTGTGTTAATTTTTCTTTGTGAACTAATATATTAATTTCTTTTGTAAAAAATAAACAATTGACATATTTCTGGAATGTTTTTATGTTTCTGAAATGTATATTTTTGCATAAAAAGTATTTTTTTAAACCGACTTTTGAGTGCTTATTGTGGCTCAGCTATTCGAAAGTTCAAGGTGTTTATTAGACAAAATATTCAAAATGGTATCTACAATAGCACTTCGAAGAGATTGCGTCGCCAGTAAAAAAATTTCGTTGCCGTCATATAGGAGGGTTGTGTGGATTAATATTACAAAGAAAAGATCTCTTTTTACAGGTTAAGTGCTAATTAAGATTTTAGAGTTCAAATAAACATATGAATTATTTTAGTTATTAATTTTTACACCAATTCCTTTTAAATGTAAATGTTCATTATTTACATGCCTTTTACACCACTTCTTTAGCTAGAAAAATGTCTTTTTACATACCAATTTTAGTAAAAATAAATGTCTTTCTGCCTTCCTATTTTAGGTAAAATAAAAGCCTGAACTTTTGGGATCTAGTAATAAGTAACTCATGCTATTTAATGTTTTCAGTAATTTAATTCTTAATTTATTAGCCAGTTACAATTAAGATTATGTAGCAAAAGTAAAAAGAAACTTTATTTTATACTAAACCAGGTTTTAAATATCCAAACAACAATTTTTTATAATGACCTTGAGAATATTTATTGGCTCCTTGCGTAACTTACTACAATAGACTATTTAATATACAATTATTTTTCAAATACAAACATATTTATGACATTTTCGAGCTTCTTTTGCCTGGACGCGGCCCCTCTTATGGATGGTGCCCATAAGGAGATGCATATGTGGCTCGTACGTAAATTCAACATTTTTTGTGTTTCAAACACCAGAGGTATTTTTAGGATATAATTTGAACTTTCTACTCAACCAATTTTGTGATTTTTTCTTTAAATAAAAAGTAATGTTCCTAAATATCGATGTCAAAATTAAACATCGCCCCCTAAACATCAATTTTTTAAACTTTGATGGTTTTAAAACTATATTAGTAGTTAATACGATTAACGCAGGAAGGTAATTTGATGGTAATCGCGGTTTTTAAAACTGAGATTTTACTGATAAAACAAAGTAAAAATAATCAGAAACTTTTAGTTTAAACTTGAAACTTTTATTATCTGACTCGATAATTAAAAGGGTTTATGAACTTTTATGGACATTTAAGGACGAAAAAAAATTTTAATTATTTTTCACTCTTGGTCACATTGGTCTGAAGAAAGCATTATTTATCTGAAAAGTATTACATTTTTTATTACCATGGTTTGGTTTTTATTAAAAAAAAAATCAATCACGTAAAAACATCGAACTGAAAATATGGTTGTTAAAAACGCATTCGCTTGAATAAATTGATACATCGTTAAATTCATTCATGATTTTATATAAATATCAATGTTTATAAAACGTCATCGATGACGTATCGACTCACTTGCGCACGTCGCTGATCCAGTGGGCGCCCTTGCTCTCGAAGACGGACGCGGACGCCTCGTAGCCGTAGTAGACGCAGCTGGGCAGGCAGCGACAGCGCTCGCGCTCGCCGCTGGGCTCCGAGCTGCGGGACTCCACGTCCAGGCCCAGCTTCCGCTTGCCCACTCGGAAGTCCACCTTCTGGAAATTGTCTGCACACGCCGCGTGCTCATTGATTGATTGATTGATTAGTAGCCGGACGGGATCCTTTTAATGTAAAGATACCGTCGATGCACGATCTCCCTGCCCTGACGTCATTCTCTTCTTCAGATTCTGTGAATTGCTCTTCGGTTCTCCGTTTTATGATCCTACCATTCAGTCCCGCTACTGAACACATTACGCTTATACTCCAACAGTTCTTACATTACTGTCTGCCTCCTTTCATAGTAGTAATAATAGTAATAGTTTCTTAGTAGTAGGAGTAATATTGTTAAATTTCTATTCGTTAGGTGGAACAACACCTTGGAGGCATTAATTTAAAATAGGAGCCAATACATTCATCACACAACTAGGTGCTGCTTTTACCAGTTCTATATTGATATTACCTGGCCCAGGAGTTTTCCAGTTTTTCGTTAATCCAGAATAGATTTTACCTCTTTGCGGGCGAAGACCTCAATAATCTATTCCATAATTTCTATCACCTCGTGTTCCTGCTGCTGATATTGTGTTTTATAGCTAAGTCCTTGATTCTACGATTGGTACGAAGAATTGATTATTTTGCTGCTTTATTTACCCACACGGCATGCTTCCAGTTTTTTCCTGATCAAATTTTATTATTATTTTGTTAACCACAGTACTTGAAACTCCTGCAAACGATTTTATATCTTTCTGTCAACGTGGTGAGTGAAATTATGTTTTTATTTCTGTTAATTTTCTTGAAAAGTGTCTGAATCTCGACAATAAATTACCAGACAAAAATGAACATTTCGAAGTTGTGACGTCACATTGTAATAAATTGTAATTCACTCATAAAATTGAGTAATGGAATGCAGTTTTGAAAAATAATTACGTTTGGATTATTTTGGGAAGGAAAAGTTGCAAAACACTATTAAAAATAATTTATATATCTTCATTACAACGGCAGTTTTCAATAAGCTTCAACTGATTGAAATTATCATAATTATTTCTTAAATGACGTAAACATCGAGTGATAAAATTATTAAAGTCAATAATAAAAATAATCGTATTACTACAAATCATATTGAAACCAATTCCTTTGCTCAAAAACATATTTAAACTAACAATTACACAAATGTGAATACTATCCTTAATAATTTGGCCACCTAATGTAAGTTCAATGCCTTCGACTACTAACAGGTTTTACTGATTTGAGTCCTAGTAAATTTTGTTGTTTACTGTGATCAAATTTATGAGATCGTGATATAGCTGCTTCCTTTGCAAAGTAAGGTATGGATTTACACGAATATTTTTCCATTTACAGCTCAAAAGTTTATTTCTATTTCAAAATTCCACTATTTTCAAAAGTTCCATCAATTTAGTTAGAACAATGCCTTTGGTTTTACCCACGTACCCTTCTTCTGCATTTCGCAACTTCGATCTATGTTGTAGAGCTTGGTTCATTCACAGTTACTTCGTTAAAACATACATTTTACAGAAATGGAGCCTACAACCTTTTTTATTTCACCTTCAATTGACATTGTTAATGCAACCATTATACCTTGTTATATGGGAGCAGAATCAGAAGTGCCAAATACAATCGTGTTTCTTTTTTTATCTCATATTTATTAGAATGAAAACTTACAAAACTTTAAAACAAACCTTTTGCCAAATCGATGCACTCACGATCTTTCAGCGATGAGCTGCACACAACAGTATTGTCAAAACCTGAAAAAAAAAGTGAATGATATAATTACTAATAATTTAGTAAACAGTACTTCACCGTTCTAAGAAAGATTATCTGTTCGGTTTACATGTATATTTTCAAAGAATCACAATTTATAATATTAATATTTGTGTCCAAGAAATATAAATAGGTTTGTGTATGAAATTATGAAAGCATTTAGAAATAGAGGAATGCTAGGGAAAATAATGTGGGAAAAAGTTTTACTTCAGATCTTGTAAGCTTTCGTCACACTGAACAAAGAATTATTCATAGTTGGAAGAACTCATTGTATATTAAAGAAATTATTATTATCTGCAAGAATTGCCTACTTATTCAGGAAATATTGTTGATGCGTTGTTATCAGCTCACTTTATGTTCATGCATATAACATATATTTTAGATATAAAAAATTGATTTTACTTTTAAACGTCAGAGTAAAGGCTACAACCAAAAAACTCCAAAATACAATTATTTGCAAAACTTGAATTCTCCAGATTTTTGCATTCGGATACTTAATGAAATGAGACTGGCAGTAAAAAAATATGTTCGACATTAGTATGACTAGTGATTAATGAGGAATATAGTGAATTCTTCTGGAGTACAAATTAATTTTAAACTAGTGGTGCTACAACAGAAACTACTCATTCACGCTAGTAACAGTTAAATAAAATTATAATACCGCAGATTCAGTGTATATTACCACATCTCATCTATCACTTCTAAAAGACGTGATCAATTCTAGCGAATTAGGCGCAAAAATAATTTAGAGGTAATATATCAACACAAATTCGACGATGTAAAACTCCCTTCCATGTACCCAGAAACACCTAAACAATGAGAAGTTATTCTGAGAATTTTAAACTGCCGATTCCTGGTGTTTCAATGAGATTTTGCGACGCGATAACTCCTGAAAAACAAATCCGAAGAAGTGCAGAAAATTTTAATTTGCAAATTCTAAAATTTGCCAAATGACGCTAAACTACTAATATTTAAAAAAGTACACATGGCCTTTTTTAAAGAACTGATACTTCAGAACAGATTGTAATTAACAAAAAAGTCTTATCATCAATACTCTACTTATGCAATGTTATTTTTTGTTTGTTGGCAATTTTCGAAAAATTCTGAACGTTGGCCTATAATGATACCAGCAGACTTTTTTAACGTATATTGCAACATACTAGGAAAAAAACAGAAAAAATTGGAGCCGTTTTGAGAAAAAATGTTTAAAAATAGCCTGCTTCGTGCAGAATTACTCAAAAATTAATTATATTTTTGACAAATTAAACTTGACCTTATTTAAAGATCTGTTTTTGATTATATTATTTCTTTAAGGAAATCAATTAAATATTGAGTTGTAGGAATACAACGAAAAACACTGAACCATTGCAATTTTCGAAAATTCCGTGAGTTCAACGAAACTGCGACCTAAGAGAAAATTTTTAAAAAAGTTGAGGATCCCAAAATCAAAATATCCACTTCAAACTCGCAGAGTGTCGAGTTTGTTTAGTTCGATCATGGAATATGAATTTTGAAGAAAATTCTGCTTACGGGTTATCCGCTAGCGTTGTTCACAAGACAGACGAACAGATTATTTGCCCGTTAATCGTTTCTTTTTTGGTACCAATGACCAATGAAACGTGGATTTTACAACTATATAACGTGTTAGGGGAAGTAATTTCCTACATGTAGGAACAACATTCTTCCACTTTTTCCTTACCACCGCAAGGCAATATGACTTTCTGTGATAAATTGCCGTTGTTTCCCGCAGGTCTACAAACCTTTCTCTTTGCACAGTAGAGAATGTATAAAAAATGAATATTCCAAAAATGAATTTCAACCATACAAGCAACTGAAACATGCCTCCTTTTCCTTTGGCTGCCAATTGCTTATAGCATACAATAGCGCAGGAGGAGAGACGACATCCTATTTTCGTCACGCGCCTTGCTTTTCGCCGAATTCTTGACCATTCTCCCGGCATGCATCAGGCGGATACACATTCCTATTTATTTATCGTATGGGACTGTTTGCGGGGAGACCGCCCTCAGCCCTTAGAGAGTTTTTCCGCACCCGAGATTTTCAACCCAAGCTTCCCCCCTCCCCTTCCCTCCCCACGAGGTGGGACGGGGGACCTTTATCTAGCAGGTGGACGTTTCGAGCGTTCCCCTAAATGCGTCTGGGATTCGAATCTCAATTTTTCCGTCAGTTGTCGGTCTCAGTTATCTGAATGCAAGCTATCTGGTTAGGAGAAAGAGAGATCTCGTGAGGGTGGGATGTCGTCGGAAAGATTTAATTTTGTTGGGCATACCACCAGGATTTTTTTTTACATGTCACAAGTGTGACATGGCTACTATAGATTTTCGCGCCCTCCGAAAATCCGAGCCTTTCGGCCGGAATCGAACCCCTTACCCACCGAGGCCCCTACGCATTCCGAGTAGTAGTACTCACGCGGCATAAAGAAGGGCACGCATCCGCAGAAGCGGAGGGTGAAGTTGGCGAGGCACTCGGTCTCGCACATGAGCTGCGTGTAGTGCCGGAAGAAGCCCAGGCGGCGCTCGTGGGGGAAGTAGCACTGGCGCTGCTCCACCGAGTACTCCTTCTCCAGGTCGTCGTCCGTCGCAATGAGCAAGGGCTCCACGCTCACCTTGGCGCCTCCGGCCAGCGGCAGCCGCACGGCGCTGCGCTGCGGGCGCGGGAACTCCAGGGGGCTGTGCACCGTGATCTGCGCCGAGCGGGTAGCGCGTCAGGGGCGGACGGTAGGAGATGTGGTACGCAAAACAAAGGGACAAGAGGTGTAGGGTGAGGGTCGTAAAGCAAAGAGGCGTGGGACAAAGGGGCATAGGAGAAACGAGCGGAAAGCAAAGGAGCGAAGGAAAAAGGGTCAAGGGTCAAGGAGACGAATGGCAAAGATTCGTAGGGCAAAGGGAGGTAGGACAAAGGGTCGTAAAGCAAAATGGGTGCACTAGAAATGTACGTACGACAAAGGGGCTTATGGAAGGAGTCGTGGGGCAAAGGACTTGGGGTCATTCGGTAAGGGGCGCAGAGCAAAGGAACTTAGGGCATAGGGGATAGGAAAAAGGGTGTAGGGCAAAGAGCGTAGGGCAACGTGGCTTACGGCAAAGAAGGATAGAACAAAGGAGCGTAGAGAAAATGAACTTAATGGAGATGGACGTATGGAAAAGAGGTCCATGGAAGGAGTCATAGAGCCACGAATGTAAGGAAAAGGACGTAGGGAAAGAGGCGAAGTACAAAGGGCTGTAGGGAAAGAAGCGCAAGACAAAGAGTAGTTGGGAAAAGGGGCATAGAGCAAAAAGGAGTAAGACAAACGGGTGTAGGGCAATGGGGGAAGGACGGAGAGCCCCAGGGCAAAGGGGCGTACGGCAAATAAGGCAAAGAATACATGTCAAAGGGCTTAGGGCAAAGAGTTTAGGGAAAATGGTATGGCAACTGGACGTAGGGCAAACGGGAATCGGGAAAGGGAGGTAGAGAAAAGGGGCGCAGTGCAAAGGTGCGAAGGATAAAGGAGCGTAGGGTTAGAGACGATGGTTAATATATTTAATTTAACATACAAGCTTTTAATTTTTAAAATTAAATGTTAATTTTGGTTTTTCTTGTTGTGCGTGATTTAAACCATATAAGCTCATTATTCCAAAAATGGAACGGCTGAATGTTTTTTTAACCCATGGTCGAGAGTCCGGGACGCTGCTGGTAGGCCCTGGCCTGTTCGCATTCTGTCGGGCGAAGTAAAGTCAGACAGGAAAGGTTTTTTTATTTCAAATGTATTACATCACGAATTGTATACCCTTAACAGAAATAAACACTCTTAATAAATCAAGTAAGAAAGTTCTGGAATTCATATGTGTTAAATGTTGATTTACTCGAAATAGTTGTAAGCTTCTGGCCAGAGTATATTTATGATTTGCAACGGTTCAAATGTTTTTATAAAACCGCACTAGCTACTATACACTAAGGTAAGTGGGAAGATGAGATGTAATCAGTAGTCGATCTCCACTAAAATTGATATGGGATATGCTGCTAACTTCTTACGATTTTGCTATTTATTGTAGAAAGAAATTCAATTTTTGCAGTCTTGCAACTGCAAAACATTTGATGCATTTAACTACTCTTAATATGAATTAACTGTACACATTATTCGTAAGTCTTGACTTACATTTTTCAAAGTTAGAGGTGATATATATTTCTGATATTTATAGATGCTTGCGAAAGACAAAGCGAGATGTGTGAGGGATACCAAAAAAAGTAAATCTCTGCAACTGACAATTCACCATGTTGCAGCACCATCAGCAAATGCGCTTTGTTTGAGCGGAATACTCACTGTGTGACCTTCTAGAGCATCCCTACAGTCTGAGTCCATGTGGCACAGGGAAACATCCAATCGAAACGAAAGACCCGCCGCCCTGCCAGTAGCTGTTGTTCTGAAGGGGTAGCTGTTTTCGTCTGAATCCTCGCTGTAGCCGTCAACTGGAGACCACTCCGTTGAATTAAGGCCATAATTCAGATAATTTCTCGACATGAACACCCTGCTTGAAAGGAACAAAATAGATATACTCAATGAGAACTAAAATTCAGGACTTTTCAAGTTTGCAAAAAAACAATTATAGAAGAATCTACCAATATTAAGGTGCACTCAAAGAGCTGGTGTTTCACACAGATGGTAAAACAAACGCACTACTTTCCAAAAAAACATTAATGGCGCGCACAATTTGATTTTCTACTCGTATTTTGTTTTGCTCAATCACACTAGTTGCATTTTCCTGTACAAGAACAGTATGTACAGCATGCAAGTCAAGAAGAAAAATCTATTATCAAGATATTACACTTTAAGCAGAACAGTCTATTGAACCTAGATGAAATAGAATGCAATATGGTCTGCGGTATTAAAAACTGTAAAAATAGTATATTTCGAGATATTGTGGTGCTACCATCTAAGCTTACTGGATCAGTCGCAAAGTAGTAGGCACAATCTACGCGGAAGTGAGAACTATGAAAAAGGTTAACAATTGCCTAGAGATTCCAAGTCAGTAACTAAGTACTGATTTGGACCAGTTGAAACAGATGTTATTGTTGAGGACATTTTGACTATACCTCATTTTTACGATTGTTACTAGTATTTCATGAATTTAAATTTGGTAACTGTAATACAATTGGCAGAAACTAAATCTACAGTTTGCAATGTCTTCCAAGACAGTGTGTATGGTATGTGCTAAACAGTACAGTTTCGAGTAGGTTTGAGTCTGGTTATCGAAACGTTCGTTTAGTAACAATGCCAAGCTTCTTTTTTAAACGTGCATGTACTATACTATATTACATTTGTATACATACACTAGTAATGTAATTGTACAGTGGGGGTCGTAGAGAAAATAACTGTCATTTCAGTGTTTATTGGTAGATTATTTATTGACCCATGAACTTACGTGCCATTTACAAAGAACTCTGACCGATCAAGCATGTTGAAGGTGTAGCATAAACCATCTTCTGTGATTAAGGGCCGAAAGAGTCCAGCTATGCCTTTTCTCCTGAATTCTGGCCCTATAATGGTTTGGTTTATATCTGGAGCAATATTAAATTAGTGCACTTAGTTAATAAGTATTTGTGACAACAAATTACAACAGTAAACTGGGAAGTAAAGTCTTACCTCCTCGATAAGCGCAACTATGTCTCTTTCTTCCGTAGATGTTAAGTTCTCATTAGTAATATCACATAATGTGAGAATCTCTGACAATTTTAGTTTCCTGCAATCACAAAATGAAAGTTAATATACTCGCTTTATGAAGGAAGGCATGGTAGTACCAGGGATAATGAGCACGAACCCTACAAATTATTCTAACTTACGCGCTTATACCGAATACAAAACGACGCTTGAAATGTACAGTGTCAATCGTGTTCTTCAACATGAAAATAAGAGTTATTGCTGTGATTATTGTATCTTTAATTTCACCGGCACAGTTTATTTATGGCAACTCTTTATTCTACGAACAGGAGATCAAAACCAAAAGTCCTTGCACAAAGTTTTATCATCACTTATTTGAAATATCCCATTCGCGCTGGCAATGTATAATTAGCTTTCAATAGCGAGAGCAGCTCTCACATCTGCTTCCTTGGGAAGTAAAATTAGTGTTAAAATTCTGGTTCATTACAATGTGGTGAATTATTTTCAGCTTTTATTTCATTCTTGGTTAAATCTGAATCTTGGAATTTAGTCGATGGGATTCCGGATTTATATTCTGGTTTTCTGGTAGCTGGATTACTTTGAACAATGCGGGTAATTAAGACTACACAGCTGGAAACATACTTCACACCAAGGCGGATTCATCAATACTAATTTTCGTTAGGTGAGCAGCCTCCGGAAGGTGATTTAAAATGTGGATGTCACCAACTCAGCCAAGTAAGATCTATGGTTTTTGTATACTTTTGAGTAAATGAACATAGAAAGGACATTTTGGAATCCATGATGTTTTTCAAATAAGAGGAATATAGTGTAGTGTAACAGCACGAGCGGTCTGCAATAGAACTGCAGCTGTAATCTTGAGAAGAGTCTTGGCGAGGTTGCACGGTCGAAAGGCTGAAACGTGAGAATAGCTCTCATCTTCTCAACGCGAGATCTGTTTTCAATGAGAGGAAGCTAGCGCTAGTGGGGGAGAGAATCTTTGGGGAGATAACTTTTTTCATACAGAGATCAATCCCCTTGACTTCTAGTACAATACGGATGGCTTCTTGACTTTCTCAGAAAGGCGGAATAACGGCGTTTGTTCCTTCATACCATTTCAGCCCAGGGGAGCTACGTTCCCCGGTCTGTAATGTAGCAGACAATAGCTATCATCCCTTCAATGAAAGTCTCGCTCCGATCGGAAACACATCCGTAGGGCCTTGTCCGTAGCTAACAGCGGGTGAGCGGCAAGGACCCTTTTTTGTTACAAAGGCAAATCTCTTGACTTTCTCTATAAGGCGGAGGGACAATCTTTTCTTCCTATATATTCTTACTGCGTGGATGAGATATGACTCCCAGATAATGGCGTTACGTGACTGGCCAAGTTGCCGGCGCGCGCCGGGCTCCTGGTGGGTGTGGGGTCTTCGAGCGTTCCGAGGAAGTTGGTATAGGCGACAGAGAATGGACGCAGGGGGTCACGTGGGAGCGTATGTGCATGAGTGAGGTCAGGCCACGAGCCCTTAAATAAGAGGAATACGGGAATGTGCTTTTGCAATTTGATGTTGGCTCTCAATATTAAGATCCTTTTTATTTTTATTTTGGCTTGTGATAATTTGCTCTTTTGGGGAGAATTTTAAATTTTTGTGTTCTTGGCCGTTTGCTTTGGCTGACTAAGTATGGAGACTCTGGTTGGTGACTAGTCTCGACGTTGCTGTCAGATTATTCTGGGTATCTTATCGGGTCGGGTCACGAGGTGTCGCGGTAGAAACGGCGCTCCGCCGACGTTACGATAAACGAGGCGGTTTAGGAGATCGGTCGGGACGCTCTCGAAACCCGCCGCTGGAGTCCCGAGACTACGTAGGTAAGCCCGCTCATGGCCGGGTCGAACTTCGACCAGTGCGGCCCTGCCTCAGCATCATCGCAACGTCCAGAAGATTGGTGAGAAGTCCGGTTGGCCGAATTTCCAATTGACTGTCATCGCTGGGCTATCTGCAGTTCTTATGGCGTCATTTGTAGAAACTAAAGTTCAGTAATGTACTAATTAAATGTGATGTGTAAATCAGCCATATTCGTAATTAAATATAATATGTAAACCAGAAATTCTTTTAGTGGTCCACGGAACAAAAGCTTCTTTATACATGCGTCCTGTTGGCCCGTCAGAATTTCATGTACAAACAACAACGACCCTCTCTGAGAGCAACCGCAAATCGGAGGCGATCGTCTTTAAAAAAAGGTAAGAGGTGGTAGTGGCCGATGAGTACATCGCATTTGGCGTCCAACGTGAGGCATGAGAAATAATGTTTTATCATTATTTTAACCTGGAGTTATGCGTGAAACCTGACGAGTAAGCGACGCCGCACGCAAGATCAGAGATTAAATTGTATATAGAAGTGAATTGTGTGTAGACCTGAATTGTACGTAGAGTAAAACTGTATTTTTATGTGGAAGGTAATTCATAAGTATGATGTGCAATTGCTTGTAAGTATTTGCAGGTGTTATGTTTTCACCCATTTGATTTAATTATCACGGTATTGTAAAATTAGTGAAAAATTCTTATTCTGATAAAAGAAAAGCTTGTTTACAAAAGTGAAAAGACAGTTGTATTAAATGACACCTTCAAAAAGGAAAATGTATTTTAAATTTTGGATTTAAAAAATGTCAGTCACTGAAATACTTTCAATGGAAATTTAGATGAGTATTTATGTGATTTAGTTTCTTTCTTTAGCGTTTAATTTATTTTCGGGTTCTCTATTTCTGAGTATGCGAGTTTTGTTCAAGAAGTTTCTGTGTGTCCCAATTTCAAAATTGAGCGAGTTCCCATTTGCCCTGTCTTCCAACGATAGAATCCTAGAAGATTTTTCACCACATAGAGGGAAATTTGGTCACGACAAAAGGTTGCCTGGAATTTCTTATATATTTTGTACAATTACCTTTTCACAAAGTCAGGTGAATTAGGTAATTGTACGTAGTATCCATCCCCTAGAACCACGACGTGTGTGAATCCACAGGTGGGTTTTACAAAATAAGGGAGGAGGTTGCAATATATTAGAGTAAATATAAAATATAAAGTAGACTAATAATTTAATTTTGACAGACATGCTGAGCTACGCACTTACTCTTCATCAGTGGCGTTGTCCTGGAGCGCGCGTCGGGACACGTCGCTGAAGTTGAACTTGGACGCGTTAATTTTGTTGATGGGGCAGACGGTGACCGCCGGGAAGGGCACGTTCCAGATGGGGCGCGAGCCCTCGTCCAGCGCCACGATGATTGGCGCCGCGCGCCACCGCACCCACGTCTGCGCCACCAGCGTCGCGCACGCGCCCAGCGCCAGCAGCACGCTCGCCGCCCACAGCAGCCTGCGCGCGAACGCCATCGATCAGCCAATTCCAGAATTAGTCCTTTGGGTGGAGAGCGTGGTGACAGATTGATTGAATATTTTATGTTTCCGAGCGCGACAACTTATATGGTATATATTCCCGTAAGAGTAGTGCATTATATACCGCGGGATGTGGCGGTAGCTCGAGGTATCTCCAATGGAGCACCGTCCCAGGAGGGTGAAGCTCTAACTCTCCGTCTGTTCTCCTGACATGTGGATATAGATGTCTCGGTGTGTGTAAGAGGAGGCGATGATATAACGATGAGAAATGAAAGAACGCGTGAGGGTCGTGGTGTATTTGTTAGGGTACTATTCAAAGAATCTCCTGATATGGAGGGGAGAAATGACGTAAAATTGTCGATCAGAGCAGTTGGCCGCTACATTTCACTTCCAGACTGCGACAACGGCTGAATTTAACTTATCTAGTGCCAAAAACCACCATCGTTGAGATTCGAGGCCTAGAAAGTACCTGTCAGTCACTTCATTGGCAACAGTTGATAACCTGAGTCAAGTTGAACGGCATATAAGCCGTGCATGTTAAATAAGGATACTTATGAGTTCTTTGCTTCTAGTGATTGTTGAATAACGTAGTGAGGTAATAAATGTTAGGCTTAATGCGCCACTCGAACTGTATATGCGCAGAAAGTCGATATTTCTGTCGATTGATGTACTTTACGGCGAGCTTGAAGCCCCTAACAATCGCCCTTTCCTACTGCTCACCTCTCGTGCCAAGGGCGCCGTGGCTCCGCCAGGTACCGGAGGCCGTGCATGGTGGTGTCGTTGGCGAACTGTGCGAGGTGCGAACCCACGACGCGCAGGCGAAATCCGCGCAGACGGCGGCGCTGCGCACGCACGCGCAGCGAGCTCAGCCGCTGCGCACGCACTCGGTCTGCGCTGCGCGGACTGAGTCGGCCCGCGAGCTCCACGGAAGGAGCCGCCTCCGCTGGCGGAAGGCGTCGAGATACAGACCACATGGCTGCTCCGGAGGCTGAGAAGCCTATTTAATTTGTATGGTGAGCATTCAGAAACATATCAATGCCAATTTCGCTCAACATTTATTATTATTATTATTATTATTATTATTTATTATTATTATTATTATTATTATTATTATTGTTATTATTATTATTATCATTATTATTATTGTCGGAGCAAGTCTCAAATTATTTCAAATCTCAATTTTATAAATTGTATTTTTCAACTCACACGCTTTGACGTGTATATTACCAGTGCAGCCTCGTTTATGGGTCATTCTACGTCAAATCACATAAATTTAAGGAACATTTGACCTTGATTTTACAGATTTTAAAACATTGTTCTGTGAAGAGTATAATAAAAAATGTAAAACACGTGTTTTCATTTTTTCCCAAATATTATTTTTCGAGATTATATTAATTTTCAAAATTTTTGTAAAAATGCTCGATTGTTAAAGTTAATGATTTTTAACTCATGTTGTAATTGTAACAGAAATTTAATATTTTGCGACATCAAAGAACAAAAATGCTCTTTCATTTTATGTACATTTCAATTCTTTAAATTTTTAGAACTCATTTCTGACCAATTTAATTTTTATTTATTTAATTCCTCTCAAAACTCAACGGTTTAAAAATTTGAAAAAAGTATCAGTCAAGTTTCTGAAAAGTTGTACATAAGTCTAGTAAGTTAGAAAGTGGGGCTGTGAGATGATCGTGAGAAATTAAATACAATATAAATGTTTACTTGCTGTTTTGTTGCAGTGTGTGCTAGTCACTTCTCAAGCACGTGCTAATCAACAGTACATGATTTCCACCCCCTTCACGTCTTACTATTTGCCTTATACATACATATGACCTCCATAACCGATTAAATTCAAATTATAAAGTGTCAAACAGATACAATTTAGTTATCAACGGACGAAATATTTATACAAATAAGAGTATGTGATACAGATAATAACACTGATATTCTTTTACTTCACTGTGCAGAGTATATTGTTAATTGACCTTTTCATAAAGAAATTAAACTATGCGTTTTCTTTGTGCCTTCTCCTGTTTCTTATTATATCATTGTTGCAATTGTTCTCTTTCTAAATATTCAGCGTCGCTAAAAATATTAAGGTAATGTTGTACATATTATTATCAGTCCACTTAAATAATTTCCTGGTTAAATTGGGAGGACTCCTGTCAGGATTGAAGGCTAGCTTTTATCGAGAATATTGTGGCGTCACCGAATTTTGACGATGAAATATTTTATTAAACTTTCAACTTATTTCTTTCAATATACGACGTAGACCCGACGGACGCGAGGGTCTGGTCACGTTCAAGGCCTAGAGGCTCCTATTAGTCACACCTTCCTCTGAAACATTTCTTCGTCTACAACAGCAGCTGGAGAAGCACAGAGCGCTTTGGGACTTCTACCCCTATCGCTAACCTGCTTACTCGTCGGGAAAGCACTAATCCACCCTCTCGAACTCGCACACCCGACGATCAACTAATCATTAACTTCAAGTTATGGAAAATCCCGGGCTACCGACGAAGCGGTGCACAGCATTGCATGTGCATTTTATAAACAAAAAAGAGTGACAAAAATGGAGATATTGTAACTTTCCATTCGAGTCGCTTAACATTAGTGCGGCCATTGTCCGACATTCTTTAGCAACGCAATAACCTTTAGCCAATGGCCAGCCATTTTATCAATCTTGAAATCTTCTAGAACTTTTGGGAATGAAAGGAGGGGATAACCGAGAGTGCCGGACACTTCATTACAAACCGCCGGGCACTTAATGTCAGACCACTGCCCGCACCAATACTTGATTTCTTGTTAAACCGCTGGGCACTTGACTTCATTTTAGAAGTGTGCTGTGATGTGCGTTTTAAACTTTACGGTTTGTTAAACCGCCGTTTAGAAGCAATGTGAGATAAAGTTTCACCCAAATTTGCTTACGTAATTTGAAAATTTGTAGGTCACTTATATCATATTCAAAATTACGCTACACGGTTTCCGGAACTTCACAATTCCGTAAAGCTTCGACAAGTATTAAGACAATTTGTCACCGTTATCAAAATGATTTGAATTATTAAGCGCCTGCTGCATCGTACCTGAAAGTGAGAGCCGAGGAAGAAATTTGTGGACGCGACTGCGGTGAACTGTGGTGTGGGTGGCGAGTCAGCTCGCCGGCCTCCCGCTATCTGCTGCTAGGACTTCCGCCCCAGCCCCAGAGACATCGTGGGTGATACCCGTATTTTCAGATGATCCGACCGCACAGGGAAAGGACGAAACAGCTGGAAGAGGCGAATGACATCCATAACAACAACATGGGTAATGTCAACGCAGAACCTGGCAATGGCTCCAATTAAGCCTTGCACGCAATATTAAAAAATGGACTCTTGCTCAAATATTTGTTTGTGTAATTCAGGCAGCCAAATTTCAGCCGCGCGTTGGCAATAAAATTCTAGTGGCAGCGTTGGCAAATTCTAATTCTAGTAGCAAAAAAACATGTTTTTGAAGACTGATGGCTGTACTCTAATTCTACGTCTTTCTAGTGAGTACATTAAGGTCTTCGGAATGACGCCTGTTACAGAAAGAAAGACCCATATTCAAAGTAGTCACTTGTAGGATAAGAAAACACTAAAGCTATAAGAAGTTACTTTTTTATAAGGAAATGCTTATGCACATTTGGTATTCGTAGACAATACTTAACATAAGTTCTACACTAGCAGCGTCTTGCGTGGCAACAGCGCATTGGCTGCCACTTGAATCCTGCCTGAAACGTCCCATCAAGCTGGCCTTGAACTAATCCTATGCGTGCGTCCGTAGGCATCCGTGAGGCATCCTAACAACACAAATACTTAAATAGTGGTAGTGTCTGAAACGCTGTCTTAAATAGTGGGAAATTGGTAAACCTCTAATAATTATAGCTGGGTTTTGCCACCAACGTAACCAAAACACGTACTTTGGTCTTGATAAAACGACATCTTTTCTTAAATATTTTTGATCATTGTGTCTTTTCGGAGGCCTTTGCATATCACGTAAACATCACAAAAAAATTGCATATAACAAAAAAATAACTAGTTACTACGAAGACCGATACCACCATAGAAATTTTTATTATCTTCAAAATCATAGTTCATTTCCATTTCTTTCAAATTACGACTATTTTCAACCAACCAAAAGATGGTTCACTTATAAGTGAAGGCAGTACCTTTCTTAAAGGAGTTTCTTATGTACGCGAATAAGTTGCGACTATGAATGGAAAAACTTTATAAGGAACTCATTAAAGTATTCCTTATAAGAAACGATTATGAATACTACTAAGTCTTTGCCTCTAGAATGCTCCAATGTTCCTTCCCGATATGGGCTCGTGCTTTAAATGAGTACATCTGATTCACTCTCGTAAGATAGCAGGTATCGCCAACATCCTTATCCACAAACCATACCTTTTTCTTGTTTTTTCCAGTGTTAAATCAGGTATGTTGAAGTGAACGGTTTGTTCTGCCTGTAACTGCACCAAGTACTGTTTATAGTTGTTTTTAAAAACACTTTTGGGATGTACTTGTAGTATTGTGTATCATGGTTGGTGCTTTGCCACGTATCTTGACAAGTTGCGCATGGATAGTTCACCCTACCACATTATGTCTTGTACTCTTGGCCTAGTACACTACAGTCTCATATAATACGCTGAATAGTCTCACTGCATTGACAATAACGCAACAATCATCGGAGGGCACGTGTAGACATTTGAATATGTATCTCAGGTAATTCTTCGATGCAATACTTGGGCTTGAATTGAGGATGGGCTGGAAGGAGGACATAATTTGAATTATGGCTTTTATCCGTAAATTATTTAATAACGTTCTTTAGGTAACTTTCTACCACCCCTCCAGATAGAACTGTGTTAACCCCAATTCTGGTGAAGCTTCACACTAATTGAGAATAGACCCTGAGTTGTTGAGAGTATCTATAACTTCAGTTACATTTCCATTTTCGATATACTGCGTGCTTGCAATATTTCTTCCTGAAACTCGATACTTTTCTCCTAATGCACGCCTTTTTGTTTCTTCTTTGAAAGGCTTCCAGAGTAACAATATTAAATGTAAATTTTATTATTTCCTCCAGCAGTCTAAGCAGACTTTATTTTACAGAAATATATTTCACAATTCCCACAGTATTAACATTACATAAAAATACACACTATTGGGATTGTGGTGACATTTCGTTGGCGTTTACAATGAAATAATTGTGAGTTGTCATTGTCAACAATATTGTTTATTACAATAGCAGCTTTCTAAGGTTGCGACATCTACAAGTAGTCGTTTTTTGGCTTCCAAACAGCAGAAAACTGGTGATGATGGCTAAGTCATCGAAAGTTGCTATTGTAACAAACAATATTGTTGGCAAAGAATAATCTTATAATGATTTCAATACACACTATTCTCAAACATGTACCAACAAAAGCAAATGCATTTGTGTGATGTACAATATGTTCATTCATTATACTCTCATTATATGCACGTTTTCCTGTAATTAAATAATATCGCTGATCTGAAAGGTCTACGCTCAGTATACGAACTACGCTCAGTATATTATTAGAAGAAGTGAGAGCCACAACGTTTGACGTTTCCATTAAAATCAAAAGATAAATATGTAAAAGAATATTGAGAATTTCGCAAATACTGAGATGAGAGAGAGGTGAGAAGTGTAACAGAAAACGTGCTTTGCCCATTATTTTCCGAAAAAAGGGGAAAGTACCGTCGCACAGCTCTTTAATGGGTTGGTCAATTACAATTAATGTAAATAGTTTCAAGAAAGTTTCAATTGATAAGTGCCTGTTTTGAATGAATTGAAAACTAACTCAATATATTTTGATACGTAACATTTGCTATGTGGCTAGCCGATAGTAGTTTTTCTTAGCTAGATGAACACGAGACATGTGTCACAAGTAAAGCGCTTTATGAATTGACAAACGAGATTTTTTCCGGTTAACCAACACTTAAGTCAGAAAATTTTAATAAAATTCAAGACTTCTTAGTTCTTTGTGAACAGTTGTTACATACTGAAAACATGGTGACATGAAAAAGTTTCTTGCACTATAACAGAACAAAAATGAGGTACTTTTCAGAGAGTCTGGAATAAAATAACTAACCCTCCCTTTCTCACGCGTAGCAAACTGATACGTCCAGAAAACGTGCGCAATTGTAAGAAGCCATATCTCGTACCTTGTGTAAGAGCCGAGCTTTTAAACTCTTCCTGCGAATGTTGATGGCAGCTCCGCAAGCAGGGACTGCATGCTGAAGGGAGCACAGAGGTCGAGGCGCGCGGTTGCGTTCCAGACACACCTTTCCGCTTGCCACGCCCAAGGCACGCCCCGGCCCCGGCCTCACGGGCGCGCGCTCTCCCTCGAGGTTGGGGCATGGCAATGTCGGATCCAGAAAGCCTTCCGGAGGGGAGGTACAACAAGAAAAACTACCTCCGGATGGTGTGGCTCAATGGCAATATCCGTAACCGCTGCAGCGTTTCGGTCGTTTTAGGGTTAGGCCCGAATATCGGTGGAATATTGGTGGAATATCCAACTACATAACAAAATCGAATTCAGCCGCTGCATGCAGGAAAATTCTAGGGGCCAGCTGAAGTGATTCATAGTACAATACCTAAAACTAAAAGTGAATTTCAAAATTATTCCACTCAATTGCTAAGAAAGTAACAACTTTGTGGAAGACTCGTCTTTAGTAGGTAATGTTTACATTGTTCTATAGGAATCGTCAATACTAGAAGTGTTACATGCACCTAATTTCTATTACACTATCTTTTTTTGAATTTTTAGTTTTTATATCAAATCAGTTTTCCTTCAGGTGTAAACATCACTTACAATACATTCAATTTACTTTCCTAAAAATAACCATTTCCACAATTTTATTTTGTAATTGTTATATTTCTTCTTATATATCTCACCTCCACTATTCATCAACTTATCTACATAAAAAAATACACCCAAAGAAAAGCACATGCTTGCTGAACATATACTTTTTCTTGCTTATTCCATTTCTAACTAATTGTTTACCGATTTATATTAATTAATTTAAGCCTTTAAATAGTTTACACATTCCTTTAACCTTCTCATGCAACTTTCACCCTCTCCATCCTTCTACATATTTCTCTCCCTCTCACTCTTTCGTTTGTACTTTTATATCTTTTCTCTTGGTTACATAACCATGTCGAAAGTTTCCATTCTCCACTTCATAACTACACATTCTCCAAGGTTTTTTTCTTCCATAACCAATAATTTTCACCTCACACCTCAATCCCTAAATTAATCATTTCAATACGAATATTATTCACGTAAACCACACACTATTTTTTAAATGTGGCTACTTTATTTTGCAATCTTATTTTCTATTATTGAAACGAACTTTTCCATACATTAATTTCTCGGAAGTTCAAATTTTAACCGTTCTTTCATTTTCCCACTACGAAAAATAGAAGCACTTTTTCATAAAAAAAGTGCTTGTTCATTACGAACACCATATAAAGCACCTACAAACAAGACCAGAATATAAATCAAAACCAAAACAAACATGGTTGATAATTTTGATAAGTCAGAAAGCCCCCGTTTTTCTTAATATGAACTGATATGAATATTTGTAAATTTTATGTCAATACAATAAACTTAAGCATGGAAAATCCATACAAAATTGTGGCTATGTCGAGGAATACATGTTGTTAGGGCGACCAGTAAATATGCTAGTCCCGAGAGAACGAACAAATACAGGGACATACCGGAAGAGGAAAACAATGCCCCTTGTCGCCCATATATATAGGAAATATACCCCTATATGTAGCGAGTGCGACTACATACAGAAACGAAACGGATTTCAGGAAATTGATTCCTTTTAGGTGAATGAAAGGCAATATATAGTTATAAATGAATTGAAATTTATTCTGTGCTATGTACAAGTGAATTATTTATTTTAGTGAGTTTATAGTAATCCGAAAGACAAATTAAAATTTATAAACATTATGGTTCTTCTTTCTTGAAGTTCAAGTTCAGTTTACTTACAGTTTGTTGTATTGATACACTCGTCCGTAGTAATGACAAATGAGTCAATTATAGGCGTTTGCGTCTTTAACAGTTGTAGGCTGATACCTAAATTGCAAGTGAGTTGGATTTGGGGTGTTTTATTTCTTCTTGTAGTCTGAGCAGCAATAGTGAAGTTCAAGTACTTCAAGAGTATTGAACTGAAACTTCAGTTGTTCTGATTGTAGTCATTGTATTTGCCATAATAGTCTCAATTAATGAATAGTGAGTAGTGGTTTGACAATTGGGTCGCGTGGGAGCGAAGTGGCCATATTTAATGTTGGGGCAGTTATTATGTCCATGGAGGAGAGAGTCACGTGACATTGACTGCGAACCTATGGAGAGGCGGTGAGACGCGAAGTACCCGCGATCGGCTTTCTATTTGTTGGATGCATCTTCAGGCCTGGGGAGAGTAGCGTCACGTGTAGCTAGAATAATGTAAGGTGGCTGAGCCGAGACCAAATCTTAACAGTTTTGAAAGGGAAATCATTCTATGCTAAAATCAGGACCCCATGTCCCCAGCGGGTGGGGCGGTGGGCAACATTGAAATCTTAAATAGAAACCCCCATTTTTTATTTCAGATTCAAATTCTACGGACAAAAATACATACGTTTTGCCTGAAGCCTTTTGTCTGATTTGTGGTAGGTGGAGCTGTAATCGCAAAAATTTATTTTCCGAAGATTTCCGAATGCCACCTATATTTCAACCATTAGTGATGGTGATCATCTTTGTGACGTCTCTTAGAAGTATTGGATTCCTCCATATTACACTATTTATGCTTTCTGTCTACTATTTGCGCTTTCTGTGAGATTTGCGCAGACTGGCGAGATTTATGTCAGACCTTGTCAAACGTTCAAGAGAAAGAACTACAACAGGCAGTTGTTTCGTTCTGAGGAACAAATATTGAGCAGGCGGCAAAATAGTAAGAAGAAGAGCCAAAATTATGGCCAGGGAGTTTTCTTAGAGACCCGAACTGAATTACAGCGAGACTTTTGCACCAATACTAGTTTTGCACCTATTGTTGCGCCACACAAGAGAGATCGACAAGGTCTACAATCATCTACGCCAATCTTCCGAGATCAGGGATTTAGGTGACATCAATATTGCTTGGGACTGGAGCTCTCTAGAAGCAAGTCCAGTATTTTCTCAGTCATAAGGGGAACGAAATGTTCGTTCTGAACCGTTTTCGGATGCCGAATTGCAAAACGGTGGCCACCCCGGTTTAATCCAAGAGCCAAGCTGACGAAGAGTTCTTGGTCCGAGGACGACGACCTTTGGCGGAGGTGATATGCGGCAGTAGACTGTAGATTGGCTGGTATAACCTTTTTTGCATATCATTCCTGTCCATCCTTCCATAACTCTAAATTCGTACCTGAACAAAGGACCACCACAATTCGAAGCTTGGAACTTGTATGCAGCTGAAAGCTAATTAATTGGGAGTTTGTCACCATCACGTAGATATACATAGAGGCATTATAATTTATACATGTAATTATTACACTAAATTATTACAAAGAAGTTAAATGCTGAACCTCATATGCTGTATGAAAGCATACTTCATTACATTAAAAAGTACAACTTTTGTGATTGAATGTAAGCATAATATGTCGTTATTAATCGTTTTACAATTGATGTTCACAGTTTTTGATTGATATGAACAAAATAAAAACAATTGTTAGGAATTCACAGTAGACTTGACATGTAGTGCTGTAAAAAAGGACACTGAAAGTTACGTGCGACGACTGGATAAGCTGCTGTGCGTGTCAATGTGACGAATGACCCGCTCCTACATTAGGCCCGACATGGAGCTTCGTGCTGTGACCAGACGTTGAGACTGTCAGTCTGACGGACCTACCATACGTTTACAATGTTCACGATTCATGAAGGAAACATGTTCCTGCTAGAATTAATACGCGCACAGACACTGCTTAAGCAAGAAGATCAACTCAGTACTCTTGTGAAATGCGCACAAATGACTGCAAAATTGCTGCGACAATACATTAAGAGTACTGCAGCGCGTAAATACACTCGCGTGCAATGTAATTGGTTCATGGTCCGGGAAATTGTAGTTTTAATTATTAGGCCGCTGTAAAACATATTGAACTACTAAAGTAGCAAATTAACAGTCTTACACACGTGAGTTTTGAATACGTAGTAATGTGAAGAAAGCATGAATGCTCGCGTGATGACAAGACACAGGAGTGCAAAGTGTCATTATGCTGTAATTTGATTATTAGTAACATAATCAGCACATCATACAATACACTAAACTATTGCACTAACTCTTTGAACAATCTTTCATATCGAACACTCCTTACATTGCCATGTAAAGACATTGCGAGCTTCGCGTGACACGGAATAAACGTGGCGAAGTATTCTCTCGAACTGAACTGACTGCAGCAGAGCGCCGGAAGAGGCCACAGGCTTCGCGCGCTCGCCACTGCCACCAGCTAATGGAAGAGCCTGTTAGAGTACATTGTAACTTAAGAACTAAAGTAATTGTTATTAACTAATGAAATTAATTATAGGGTTATTTAGTATTTTTAACTGTGGAAATTAGAACGCTAGTTTTAGGTTTAAAATATTGAGGAGATAGTGTTGCGCAATGTGGCGGAAGCCTGTGACTGTCTCTAACACATGCGAGAAGGGTATGTTTTGGGAACGCGAGGCGAGGTTGCAATTTCAAGAACTATGCAAAATACCGTTGTGAAACGCTTTACAGAAATGTTTTATACTGAAACCTCGCTGCTTTGATGTGCGCGTAGAAATAAATATTATCAATTTTGTGAATAGCTTGCATGCCGAAGACCTGTCACAAGGGAACTGGTGGGTGTTCTAAAGTATCTGTCGGTCGCAACTCGCCCGGACATATCACACGCCGTGAGTATGTTGGGCCAGTTCAAGGACACTGGCATCACTGGCACGAAGTGAAGAGAGTGAATATCTTAAGGGCACCTCTGATGTTGGGATGACCTACGGACGCAACAACGCAGAGCTGACAGGGTTCTTGGAGGTCGATAGGGCGTCCTGTGTGGGCGACCGTAGGTCGTACATGAGCTTTGTTTATACGATATATGAATGTCGTAACGTGGGAGTCCAGGAAGCAAAGGATGGTGACCTTTCTGTTAACCGAGACTGAGTACACGGCCCTAAGCAAGGCTGGACTCAAGACTGTGCCGGTTTACAGCGCCATCAGTGTTGGCGGTCATATCATGCTACACGTGCTTCTCATTTACTTCTGCATGTGTCACCATGTGGTCAAGATACTATGTAAATCGTATGTGTGTGGTGTTTTAATATTGTACATATTTACTAACTCAATGTGTCGTTATATTATTTT